CCAGGATCGTCAAATATGGTCTTCGCAGGTTTCCAAGCGATGCTTGACCCTCCACGGAAAGGCGTAAGCGACTCGATTGCGCTACTACAAGCGGGTGGTGTCCAGGTGGTGATGATCACAGGTGACGCGGAAGAAACCGCACTTTCAATAGCACACAAGCTGGGTCTGAAAGTCAGCTCTGATGGGAGTGGGTGTCTGACGGGGGCTGCTATCGACAGGATGAGCAAGGAGATGTTGATGGAGAGGGTAGGATATGTGAGCGTCTTTGCAAGGACGACGCCCAGACATAAGATGGCGATTGTCGAAGCATTCCAGGCTAGAGGGAAGATCGTGGCGATGACGGGCGATGGGGTCAACGATGCGCCTGCGTTGAAAATGGCGGATATCGGTGTTTCGATGGGGAAGAGCGGGACTGATGTAGCAAAGGAGGCGGCGGATGTGATATTGGTGGATGATAACTTCAGTACGATCTTGCCTGCTGTTGAGGAGGGTGAGTAGCTTCTTTCTTCGTGGTTTGTTCCTTCTGACTGGTGCACACAGGCAAGTCAATATTCCATAATATACAAAACTTCCTTTCGTTCCAGCTGAGCACGGCTGCGGCCGCGCTGACGCTAATCACGCTCAGTACCATGTTAGGGCTGAGCAATCCATTAAATGCTATGCAAATACTATTTATAAATATTCTCATGGATGGTGAGCTTCTACCTATGATGCTGTAGAAGACGGTGGTTCATTTCTTCTTAGGTCCCCCCAGTCAGAGTCTGGGTGTTGACCCGGTGGATCCTGCTGTGATGCGACGACCTCCCCGGAAAAAAGACGCATCGATTATAACGAAACCCGTCCTGTATCGTGTCTTCTTTTCGGCTTCGATGATTGTGTTTGGAACGTTGTTCGTGTATATCTTTGCTCTCGAGGATGACAAGATGTCCAGAAGGGAACAGACGATGGTAAAGTGTATCTTCTCCTTACGCATATATAGGACTCACAAGACCTTTTTTTCGTAGACATTTACGGCTTTCGTCTTTCTGGACCTTGTTTCGGCGATCCAAAACCGCGGTCTGGGATGCGGGCTAACACACAACAAGATGTTGCTGACGACAGTCAGCGTGTCAGCGATATCGCAGATAGGACTTGTATACGTCCCCGTCATGCAGTCGATATTCCAGACAGAGGGGCTGAGGATGGGAGATCTAGGCGTCATACTAGGGCTAGCAGGCACGAGTATGTGCTTGCATGAATGTAGACGAAGGTGGGAGAGGAAAGGAATTGAAGAGAGTGAGAGGTGGGGTAGAGTTGGGGAGATGGTTTAGCGAAAAATATATAACGGGACGGTTTTTGGTTTACATTTGTACAGGATAGAGATAATTTATCTGATACTTCTAATCATTGCGAGGCGAAACGATGTTTAGTCCACGAGTCCAACCACGTGGAAGAATCGCGTGTTCGACGCGCGTGAACCTGTCGTGGTTTACCTCTTCTCTCTTGCCACCACTTTCAACATCGACAACCATGGTAGACAACCACTATCAAGCAGATTCAGCGCTATTTCCTTCTGATGAACCCGACGACAACCAGCAGGCTCCGATTTCAAGCGCTAGCCATGCTAGAGCTTCTGCTGGTAGCGCAGCCGCGACTCCGCCAGGATATCGGCGTCCCATTGCTCGACCTTCTATCACAACTCCAGGATCTCGAGATTTCCATATGGATTGGAGTTCACGACCAACAACGCCCCGAACGTTCGGATACACTCCAGACAGACCGTCACAAGCCTTGCCCTCTGCTACTGGTGAGATTCTCGTCTTGCGCTGCCTTTCGAATTTCAGAATGAGAACTTGTCTTTATTCATAGACTTCGACACGCTTGGAAACAGCTATTCTGAGCCGCCGCGTGCTGGCGTCGATGCAAAGTCTAAACTCTGGGAGTATTATAACAACGAGGCTCGCGTGGCGGATAAAGATATGCTGAGGCGCTGGCAGGACGACATGGCGACGCTACTCATCTTCGTACGTTACTCCAAAACACATCATTTCTTACGCTCATTTTGTCCAGGCCGGCTTGTTTTCTGGTGGTGTCCTCACCGTCTTCCTCATCGAGTTCTACACGACTCTTCAGCCCGACTACGAGGAAATCTCGATCCGGCAGCAGCGGCTGATCTCGGTCAACCTTCAGGCTCTGCTCAACACAACTACAGGCGCTCCGGCGTACCCCATTTTTGATACGACTGATGCACTATCGGATTTCCATGTTCCACGGTCTGCCTTATGGATACAGGGCTTATGGTTCTCGGCTCTAGTCTGCGGTATATCAGTAGCATTACTCTCTTGGCTCGTGAAGTCATGGCTCCTCGACTACGTGAAGGGTATGAATAGCGGGAATACTTATGATCGTGCACATCGCCGGCAACATAGACATGATGCTCTTCTGAGTTGGCATGTGCCGGCAATCATTGCCTCCCTCCCGGCTCTCATGCATCTGACTGTCATGTTATTCTTGATTGGCCTCGTCATTCTCATGTGGCAGCTAAATCGTGCTATTGGGTACATCATGCTAAGCATGGTCATTCTCTTAGCCTGCATATATGCGGGATCAACTCTGCTGCCTCTATTCTGGCCATCATGTCCATATAGAAATGTGGTCTTGCTACTTCTGTTGGAGATGCTAGCACCATCTGCTCAAAAGCTGGTCAAGGCTGTCATTGGCCTATGCTTGAAGCTTGCTGACTGGGCTCGAAAGCATTCTTTTATCATTCCTCAGACCATTGATGCATGGTTACTGTGTCATAGAAGTTATCTATATGATCATGGTCAAGATGAGCAGAAATACATCCAGCTTAGTGATTCTGTGTTGACATGGAAAAGTGTTGTCTGGCTGCTTAGATATTCTCAGAATGCTACTACTGTAGATGTATGCCTTCGCTCAATAACTGGACTGAAATTTCAGCCAGATTTGATGGACTCTCTACTTAAAGCAGATGTATTCAATCTTCTATTCTCACAGATAGATATTACACTCCCTTCATCTGATGATGCCTTCTGGCAAACACTTACTCCTGCTCCTGCTGAATATTTGGCCTCTCATTTCTCTCATCAATATATGCTGTCTATGTTACACCTTTGGCAGTTAATTTCATTGGAGAATGGAATATCTTTGTCACTGATTACAGAAATTATTCAAAAACCAAAGTACAGTCCTTTGTATGAAGACTGGCTACATTTGTGTAGAAAACTGATGGAAAAGCTTTCTTTTGCTGAGCTATCAATTAATAGCTATAACATGAGAGATCTTGTTATTATTATCTGCAATGAATGTCTGTACTATCACCTGCATCCAGAGAATCATCTTTATATGCATGAGGTGGAGATATCAGATAGAAATCCTCTGTTAGATCTTCATGCTCTTTTAGAAAAGCATCTTGCAGAAATGTCAACCTCACATATTCAATTTGGACTAGGCTTGGATCATTTGACACTAGAATTAATCCTGGAAACTCTCTGCTATTCAATCTCAAGAGTAAATTATCAGCAATTGATCTTCAAGAGAAAGACAGTGTTTATTCTGTTTAATCTGATGGGTTCTCTGAGAAAAGAGGACAAATACCTTCATAATTCACTTGCTTTATGTTTGCAAACACTTGCAACTGACAGTTGTGATTCAAAGAGAGTTCAACTGTTAGAGTACCATAACTTGAAAGAGAGCAAAACTGCATCTAGCCAGAATCTATATACAAAGATTATCATAGCTGTTAAAGAGATATTATGGAGACATCCTAAAATGCAAGATGCAGATTGTGATACAGAGATTCTACAGCTAGTTCTACAATTTTTCAAATTTGCTTCAAATACAAATGCAAATGCAGTCACAGTAGAACATGCTTTGTTCAAATTGCCAACTCCCTATATTGATGCTCTGATACTTCATGTTTATGAAGCTGGAAAGGAATTATGGCAGCTTGAATGTCTTTCCCCAGAATGGTTTATTGACTTGCTAGTCAAAAGCTATTCTAATAACACCTTATCAGAAGATAGTAAAGAGAGGATCATTGAGATATTTGGAAGTTTTATGATAGAGCAATGGCCTGAGAAGAAACACACTGCAATTGGCTTAACAATACTCTCATTTTTAAAAGAGCATATGCATCCTTCAGAGTGTGCTATCAAGATATGTGAAATGCTACAAAACATCTTAACAGTTACAATGTCTCAAAAGGACAGAAGACTGTTGAAGGCATTTATACAATATGGCATGGTGGACCCAGTTAGTAAAATTCTTTATGAACTTGAATCAAACCAGATAGTTAGACGCTGGCTGGTATTCTTGGACTTATGGATGTCTGATATGTCCAACTTTACTTATACAGATACACAACTTCTTGCATATCAAAGGCTGCATGATGCCTGTCATCAACAGAGCATTGGAGCTGAGTAGTATACATCTTTATCTAATGCGCATATCTGCAATTGATTAAATACTTTAATGCATGGACAATAAAAAGGATGCTGTACCTAGGAATCATGATTAGCTACATATTAACATTGAAGCTGAACACATGCCATGATATGGAAGATAAGTGCTCTCCTCATGACATGGCTCTACCACTCATGGCACTGGCATCATGGTGTGTGGAGGTGGTACCGGCACCCAATCAGGAACGGCCGGGTCCACAGCCCTGACATGACAAGTTATGTTGCCGTGGCCACAAAGGCTCATATGTTTTGATCACAGTTGCATATGTCTCGTGGAGTAGAGACACTTTGTGGGGTACTCACAAACAGCATAGATATTACTGTTCATATTAGTAGAGGTACATGTAATAAGATAGAACAAATAATCATGAATTGAGGCAATATACAAGAAGCAACTGGAAGACTCGAACAATATCAAAAACATACTTTGCGAAGGAGCATAAAATATCAGTTTCAAGAAGTCATATAATATCCAAACCCGAAGGAGCATTTCGCAGAGGCAGAGAAGAGAGGAGATGCGAGCTGCCAAACTTTCGTAAAGAAGTGGGATCGCAACATTTCCACATCGTCAGAACCTTCGCAATACAGCAGCACATGCGCTTCGTCTTCCACCTTAGAGTGGCAATAACGGCATAAACGTTCACAGCGAGAGACGGCGGGGTGTCGACATTCTGCCCACCTGAGGACCTCAACTGCTAGCGTATGAGAGGACGTCAACATGCGGACTAACACTTTCCGATGTGCAGGAACCAGTATGGAAAGGTAAGAACGGAATGCCGATACTTCTGATTTCCTCCGTCTACGGTCGTCATTGGCCGGTTTCGTATGAGGAGAACGATGATGCGACATGAACGCCTTGGAGGAGGAACGTATGAAAGCGTCAATGTCACCCAAACAGGATTGCTCGACTTCTCAATAAGTCCATCTATGTCTCCGGGCGACCAGTTTCGAGCAGGGTCAAATGGGACAGGGTTCGGGAGGAGAAGTAGTGTGGACCACATAGAGGTCAGGTGAGGCAGGCATAAGCCGCTCGGTTATGTACTTGTCGTCCCGTTCCAGCCCCTAAGAACTGAGTCTTGCCCAGTGTCCAGTCAATCAGCTGCAACCCAA